AATTGAAAACTTCCGCCTGAAGAAGACACTGTGTGTCGAAACCCATGTTGCAGTGGCGGCTCGTCGTATAAAGCAACTGAGGCCGGGCCTCACATGTAAAAATTACAATAATGATGTAAAATTTTGAAATAATATTTATTAAATATTTAACGTTTTTCAACTATTTTCAATCATTAAAAGTAACAAAACATCGAATTTTCATTAAAGTATAATACTATTTCTTGAATTTAGCGCGCGCTTCTACCTATTTATCCTTATAGGCGCTCAAATCGTTGCCGGACAGCATAAAAATGAAATAGTAATCCCAAAAATTTTGGCCTCATGTGCGTCACAGAACGCCGAAGCGATGCCATGGAACTCCCCACCACAACCATTCAACTGTAGGTGAGACGATAGGAAATTTTTATAGGCATTGAGGCGCACAATTTTGGGCTTGTTAATAAGAAATTGCATCTCTTGCTGTTGTGACAAGTAGCAAATGCCAGTGCGTGATTTAATTGGCTCATACTTTTTATTTTGGTCTGTTGCGGGTTAGAAAACTGTTTATTGGAATTTATTTTGTTAATTTGAAACTCAATATTTGTATTAAAATAAGAATTATGTACTGCTGTTGTTTTGCAACTGTAAGAAATGAAAAATTTTATTAGAAATATACAAAAAAAAATATCCGAGGTGTTCATTTAATGAAATTTTGGGTCAACATTTGGGAGTAACACTTGAAAATTTTGTTTGGGTTTGTTTGGGTTAACTCGATGGGCCATGGGCCTCACCAGTTTGGATTGTCACGAGCCGCCACTGCTATGTGGTGATAATAAATAAATTGTGGAAACTTACTATCTTTTCATAAATTAAAAACTTTAGTTCTTGTAATAAGACTTGCAATGTTCATCAACTACATCGTCATTATACATTTGTCACTTTAAGTTGACATTCAATGAGGGATGCGTTTCGAGCTATCAGGTATCATCAGCGTGCTAAATTGAGTTTCTTTGCCGTTCCATCCAGGATCCAGCGTGGCTGAGAAAAGCAAGAGAAGAAACCCAATTTCTGTTTAATTTAACTTTGACTTTTGGCCGATGGGTTTGGATTTTGCAACGAAAAGATTGTTGGTACTGAGATTGAATCACAACCAACCGTTGACCTCAATTTTACCGCTTCTTCCACTTTTACTTCAAACTGTTCTCTACATCGATTTGTAAATTCCACAATGTGCAAGTTGAAGTAAACTTCGTAAAATGGCAAATTAGAAAAAAATATATCACGACCCGTATCCAGGCCATTCAGTATATTCTACGGTTGACATTCATTTGATAAAAGAAAAAATGGTTTAGGGATACATATCTTTATTGCAAAAAAATAATAATTCATAGAGATCAAATAATACATAATACCTTGAAACATTTTCAAAAAAGAATAAAGTAGGCGTTGATGTTGATATGTAATCAAATGATTTTAGGCCTGCAAAAGTCTCAATAATATTTTCAGTAAGAATTTCATTGAGAATAATATTTTCTATGAAGGGAGATCGTTAGTTTTTCCATCAGCTAGTAAATTTCTTTCATAACTTTTACCCTTTATGAAGTAGATGCGTTTTAGGAAAAGATTTTTATTTTTCATGCAGTTATCGTCTTCTAAAAGTTGGACTCGTGCTCAGAGCATGTATTAGGTACAATATTCTCATCAAAATTTTCTAAACATGAAAACCCAAACATATTTCGAAACGTTAACATAGGCAATTTGTCGCCTCTTGACTCTTGAGTTCCCCATGTGATATGATGATGATAAATAGAATATAAATTATTTATAGGCATATTATCTCGAACGCAATTATTCTACTTCGTCCTCTGTATTTTCCTCGAATTTGAGTTTATACTTTTGTTTCTTTTATTATCAGATTTGCATGTGCAACTGTTTGTGTTCTTTCTTTTTCTACGTAAAAATGTTCGTGTTGTTGTTGCATCGATATCGGTGGCCTGTTGCTACTTTTATCGAACTCTGTTGAGATATCGTCCCATAATTTTACCAAAATTCCAATTTCTGATACTTTGAACGGATTTTAAATCCCCTTTCGTATTATTGGGTTGTGAAATATCATTTGCGACATATTTTAACGATTGTTTATATGCGAAAACTCCGAATATAATTGCCTCACCGGAACTCACGCAAGTAACAAAGAATTTTTATACAATGAGTGCAAAAGGAAAAGGGATAATTATTGTATTGAGTTCTTCGGTCATTATTTACCACCTATATCTGGAAGCTGAAAATAAATTTTAAACTCTTCAAGGAACAACTTAAATCACCATATCAAATACCAAGTCAGCTGTAGCGCAAGTTTCTTCCAAGTTAAGAAATATTGAATATTGAGCGTACATATTGGCATTGTTTTCTACTTAAGACTGCCCTCGACAATCTTGAACATTCAAGTGTAACTCGTTCATTTTTTTAAGAACTACAATTTTCATATGTAAACTGTCTTATGGCAAGTTTTTTAATAAAGTACTCGAAAGACAGCCATCACGTATCTACGAATAAAAGTAAAAAAAACTGACATCAGGGATCGAATTCACACAAATTGGGAAAATATTTTGCATATCTGGCTTCTTCGCTAATCAAACCACTACCTAATATTTTTTGGTGAAATTTCGACAGCCTTATGTTGTCTGTTGTCTTGTACCTGGGTAAAGCTGCCGTCGGGGTTAATTTCCATAACGACTCTATAACGCATCAACAATTGCACCATAGTTTTGTTGGGAAGCTGGGGGAAGAGTGTCTAGAAAGTCCAAGGGTTCCAACTTCCTAATGAACATTCAATTATTTGTTCCATTGCGTTCCTAAATTTATTATCTTTCCAGGATTTTGTCAAGTCCGATTTGTTCCTCAGAGATAACGGTTTAGTTCCATTCTCGCTGAAATTTAAAAGACTCCTGCTGAAAACGGTCCTGTTCGTGTTGTTTCTCTTTTGATCTCCGATCGTCTTGTTGTGGAAGTACTGCCAACCGGTCTGGGCATCTTCTTGCCTTGCCTTCCTTTCTATCTTCGGGTTTCCTCTTCTTGTCTTAATTCCGGTCTTCGGTATTAATTCCTTTTTTTGCTTTATTTACTATCTTCGAGCGTTCTCTTCTATTCTACTATTTTCACTGATTTTTTTCAAAGTCCCAGTCATTTTTGATTAACATGCTCCATTTCGGCTGTTTGCAGACCCTGTGGTCTTTGCCATAGGACACTGTATATTTCTTGAAACTCGATTTCAAATTAAGTCCGGTGGTGACGTGAAAGTTTGTCTAACAGCAATTCTCAAACAGAAGACGATGGAATGTTCTGGAAAAATCACTCTTTGGACCAGGTAGTTTTTCGAATTCAGAACCAGCAATAAAAAAGCTTTACCTATCAGTTTAACTAAAGTTCACTTTATTGTTCTCACTAATAAGCTCAAATCAATTTATAATTATCTTGCTTACTATCGGCCCAACTATTTCAAATTTCTGACCGATAGTGATAGATGTAGGTGCCCCAATTTCGCATACGGGTCTCGAAGAGGGTTGAAAAGTACATCGATTTTGAGTAGAATGAAAGGAAATGTCAATAGAAAAATATCAGGATAATTAGAATTTTCTAAAATAACAAATATTTCATCAATTTTACTTTAAATTGACTGAATATTGAAGACAAAAGTTGACAAGCAAATTTGTCAAAATCCAAACATGCAGGCACATCCCTTGCCTCTAAAAAACAGGAGTTAATCATGATTGAGTAGTTAAAAAAGCAAATTTTTTTAACTGGACCAAGTGAAAATATTCGTGATAATGCAGCTTGCTAGCACATAATTGAGAAAATTTCGACAAAGATACTTTTTGCCAAGCCTATTACCTATAACAATGTTGTCAAAAACTCTGATCGTTGAAGTATGATTGCTATGGAAAAGTTATTGGCATTGATCGATAAAACTGATGTTTTGAATCGATTCCGTATAAATTTCTTCAAACTATTACCTTTCATAGCCATCTATGCTAAAACTGTGTGTTCTCGACGACCAGAAGAAGTAGAGAGCTCATAGGTCTGATTTGCCATTTGAACTGAAGAGTGTCCAGGATCAGGAAAGATTTGATTCTGTACATTGTCAGGTCAGCATGCCAAACATAGGCATAGCGCTGCGGTCACCAAGCACCAGAACATTGGACAGGTCAGGCGCAGACTGAAACTGGAGTGAAGTCCGAGCAACAGTGTTCTTCCTTTGTAGACCGTCCGCTCCGTTATTGAAGTATCCTGAGGTAAAATGGAGTCAGCAATATAGAATTCATCAAAAGAGTGACCAGTCGCATCCATGCAATATCCTCTGCAGGAAGGCACAGACAGAGGACCCAAGTCATACTACCAAACATCAAGAGCGTATGGATGTGTTGGACAAAAGTTGTTTGGAACTTTTCAATTTACTTGGGAGTAATTGACTTTCCTGACTTTGGGTCTCAATTGTTCTGAGCATTTGCCATTAAGACTTTTGATATATGGCTTATAAAGATCTGCGCAGCTCCTCCTCATTGGCCTCATAATCTGGGTGCTAAAATTATTGAAAATATCCAATCACTTTTTATAAAATTATTAATATCGTCAGGAAACGTTGAACTAATGATAAGATTATCTAACAACATGTAAGTAGGTATTGGGTAATTTATCTTTCCCAATGAGCTCGCATACGCAAACAAACCCTAAAAATAGATCAAAACCACTCAATTTTTCCATAAAGCTGAAAAGACCTTCATCCGACGCAATAAATTGAGTCTATATTGAATAAACATAAAAAATTGCTATGCATAAATAAAACAATAAAAATTAGATATGTGTTTCGGTTGCATGAACACGTAGAACCACAGGCGAACAGTACCAACATTAGTGGTTCAGTTCAGTCGCACTAGTTTCGCAGGCTTGTGACGTAAAAAGGCGGACCTAACAGTTCGAATATCTAACTCGCGCCCGCCAAGAGAAATTCAGTTTTAGCCGAGCGAGCGTACATGATATACGACGTTTCGACCCGGTAACCCACATCAGAACTATTCGCTTTACAAACATTTACGCGACTATCGTTAATAAGTCGGGAAACAGTGTAAAATTAATTTTTGTCTATACTAGAAATGTGCGTGAGCCATATTGAAATGGTACCCGCGGTAGTTAGTCTTGTTGCAAATAAGGGAAGGGATACTTATTCTGGATTGATCCAGGAATTTGCATGCTTCAAGTGCAAACACCTTTCGGTAAGCGCACTGTGGATTATGCACTTGTGTTCTGAATTTCAAATTGAATAACATCCCTATTTGAAATTCAGTAAGAAATTAGAATTAAGATGTATAATTCAATGAACTGTTATCTGTTGTTACTTATTTAAAGCAGCAAGTCATAAAAAAAAACGATTTATTTTTAAATTTTATCTTTTAGTGCTCAAAATTTGTAAAATACTTGTGGACCGCCTTGTAATCTGCAATCTAATTTCTACCAATCAAAAAATGTGATTCATTTGCCTCAGCTTTCTTAAAAATACTCTCATTTAACAGCTCTAATTGAAATCACAGCAATTCACAATGTATGATTAGTTGGCAGACACTTATATATATAAAAAAAGTAAAATACTCAGGAGCAAGTCTTGTAACTAATTTGAATACATTTACCTACTTATTATATTTTTTTTTTTCAAATTTTTATACAACAGCAGTGCTATAAACTCTCAAATTACTTGAAGGCAATTCTGGTTTTCAGTTGCTCTTTTCGAAGTAGTTATAGGTACCTACTTATTTTAATATGGTTCCCAAGTCATACTATAAGCTATACCTACAAAATAAAACTTTAGAATTCTTCCAACAACTACCGTCACTTGGGTTGAATTCGGACGATTTTCGAGGTTTTTTGACAATAAATTTTAAGTACATAGCTATTGCAAAAGAATAGTATTAATGGTTCCACGCATCTCCTCGATACACTCCGGAAAAAATTGAAAATTTTGGAGTAAAATTCTTCTTCTACCTTTTTTTTTGTATAATATAGTATCCGCCATCGCCTCTAAGTGTCGGGTAGACACGGACACCCATTTATTTCACATAGAAATTTGTTTTATGCATGCTATTAGGTGAACTTGGACATGCACGAAGTATTAAAAGTAAAAAAATCTTCTTTTGCCCAAATTACAGTGTCATATACAGGCAAGACTAGGGAATTTTGATATAGGTACTCCCGGCCTGCCTCGAAGCATTTTCACTATTTGTTTGTTTTCTGATGCTCCTTCCAACAGTTCCAACCTTCCATTGTCAAGATTCATAGAATTTATCCAAATCTTTTTTTTACATCTCACGACAAAAGGAAATCCTATAGGAATATGATTTTATGCACAAATGTTAAGAGTTTAGTTGCCAACACGTTAGTACCAAACGCGTTTCCAGGTTCATATCTAGATACCAACTGAGACTGAGAGGTCTCTCCACCAAAATTTCGAGTTTGAGGCAAACCGTTTGAACTTAGGTTCCTAACCGTTTGAACTTAGGTTCCTCGGTTTGAACAAAAAATCTATCTCTGACCTCGCTGAACCCTACTGTCGCCTCAGATGAGGGTAAGTAAATTTACAGTAGGAATCATTGCAATTGACACATACTATACTCTTTTAACATCCCTGGTATTAGGTCAAAATTCTAACCAATAAATCTATTTAGTGCAGTTCTGTACAAATATTTTGTTTCCTTTAACAGTTTACTAAAACTATTATGTTCATCACTGATTTGTCAATCTGACACGATTTTGACATTACCTGTGTGCCAAAGAAGTAAAATCTTGACACATTACGGGGGATGCTCATATAGTGTGTGCCAATTGCAGTGATTCTCACTGTACCTACCTACAGCAAACAGCGTGCCGTGACAAACCGACCAAATCAAGTCGAAAAAAAGATAAGGCTCAAATAATCTATAGACTGTACCTAATTTACCTAATTACCATGAGAGTTAATAGGACAGGTAAATCTTAACTATGGGTCGAACAGCTCATCATCAATATTGATAAAATTAAAAACGTCGTTTTTGTGAAAATGCGTAGGTATGTGACGCCACCATAAATATTTCATGAGTAATAGGTATCAGCTTTTAACTCGGCTTTTAAGTAACTCAAATTGAAGCCTTTTGACACCTTTTCATGAATTTCCCGTGCCGTAATGTTCGAATTTAAATTTTTTAAAAACAAATACATAAAATTTAATGTGTTTACAACCAAATGTATTTAAATTGTTGCCCATGGTCTGAAAGATCTTCGTTTTCCAATTTTTTTCGCGACCTCGATAATATATTAAAGCCTTAAAGCAAAAATGAATGGACAATAAATTATTCTATTCATTTTTTACTGTGAATGTTCAGCAACGTAGTCGTCTTTTATTTCACATCCTTGTCCGGTTCGCTTGTTATACTTTTCGGCAATAACCTTCTTTCTTCGTCAATCTTCTTGGCATAGATATTTCGTTTCTTCACCGTGCTGCCATTGACGTAAGTAAATCTTTAAAGACCGATTTGCAATGGGTCACACGTTCGTGAAGAAGAAAGTTCTTCCGTGTCTTCTTTTGTTCACATTTAGCGGATGTAGTTTTTGGAATAACATTCCGGGGAAATTAAGATAGAAGAAGATTAATAAAATGTATTGCGTCAGTTGAGTTGTGCAGTGTCTCAAAATTATTGTCCATTTGATTGAAGACGCTAATATGTTTTCCTATTAAATACCAAAGAGTAGCATGAAAAACATTCACACAATTGACGTCAATACTGGTTATATTTGAATCAAAAATTTGTTCATTGTCGATGTGACTAAATAATAATTGCTTAGGCATCGGCACTTTTAATTAAACAGTGTATGCATTAAGTACTTCATATTGTAATAACATTCAATTAACGATATTTTTTTCTACTCGAACTCTATGATTAGATACATTAGGATGTTGGCATCCTGTTTATGTGCTGTAGTTACAAAAAATTTAATTATCGAACTCAAATTTTCTTTTCAAATAAACACACTGTTATATTCTAATTATTATTAGCAGTAGCCGTTTGAAGAAATTCCGGCTTTGTGACGTCCAGAACGTCTTTTGATATTTCACTTAGCATAACAGACGGATGGAAACTTACCAACAAGCCTACGTATTTCAGCGGTCATGATTTATTTATTTGAAAAATTTGCACTATGGTAAAAGTCGTGCTATAATTAGGCTTTAATATAATAGATTTTATCAATAAAATTGTCAGTTTCCTCAATTTAATTGTCACAATCGTAATACTAATATATCCCGATGATTAGTTTTATCAAAATGTATTCATCTTGTGATTCTAATATTCTTAGTTTTAATGCCATTGACATCCACTGACACTTCGCACGCCATATCGAGAACATTAGTATTTTGTAGTAGAGAAATAGCGTATTCTAGCATATTCAAATAACATAATTTACAATTGACCAATTGTGTTCAAATCAAAACATAACTTTTGAATAATTATTTTGTTTGAAACCAGTTACCATAGAATGAATGCTACGTGCGAAGATTGCCACTAATTAAATCAATGAGTAATTGCAATCTCTTAATTAATAAATAAACGGTATGCGTTGAAGTGTTTTCTTTAGCTGGGTGTAATGTTGGCCTCCACATTTTTCCACACACACCAGATTAAAGGATGGTACCAGCGTCATAGTACCATGGAGCGTAAAGAACGGCCATGTATACCATATAGTTTTTTTTTATCAATTTTGTTACTTGCCTTTGTTAAATAAGCGCACTTGCTTTAATTGTGATGAATGAATCAATTAATTATCGCTTATTTGGATTGGATGTTTAACATGGTTATTTTTATTGTTACAGGCGTCCGAGCCAGAAGTTGAAGATTCCGAAATATGGAAGAGCGCAAGGCATGGAAAAACCATCAGATCTCCTTCGCCACACAATGCTTTCAAAAGATGGCGCAAAGCAAATCAGAATAAACACCAAGATATCAACGGAGCTAAACGCTGCTTAGATAGTTTTAAAAACGAAGAAGAAATGTCATTGTTAAAATTTTTGGCAATTGTAAGTTAGGATTTTTCTTAGTAAACTAATACAATATTGTACATAGAGCATTTGTGATTTTCTGCACAAAAGACCTTCTACTAACAATAGATATCTAATAGTGTTTTTGATTGGCTCAAAAATCAAAATGGAAAACAATCAAAAACATTTTAAAGTGGTAAGAAGATTTAAAATAACTTGGTCCTTGCCATTTCATAATATAATAGTTAACCAAGCTAAAAGTTTAAGACCATTAAACTTTCAAATATAACTTCATTTGTAATAAATATTATTCCAACCTGTTAATTTGAATTGCATGAGTGCCAATTTAAATGCAAAGACGAAAATGTTTGCTTTTAAATGAGCATCTCACATGAACAACTTGGCCTAAACTAAATTGAAATGCGTTCAGGACTGTCAAGTATGCTCCATTAAATAATTTCCACATTGACAAATGCTTTTAAGTGGTTATAAATATAGAGGGCAGGGTCATTTGCAAAACTAAAATAGATTTAATCATGTCCAGTGATTGATTTTTTATGGTTTGTCTGTTTTGAAGTGATCGTTGATTGACGTAAATTCAACTGCGGTTTTTCTCTACCCACTATCCAAGTTCGGCTGAAAATATTATATCAACTAATAGGACAGGGTTAACTTGAGCCCCAATATATATTTAAAATACCATCACTATTTTTTTTACATATTAATCATTGGTTGTAAATATGCATGCATACAAACCTAATGTATTTTCTATTTTATGAATAAAGGACGTAAAACCATAAAAAATTACTCAATATACGTTAATTTTGTCACGTTTCACCGAGGTGTACCTATACCCATTTAAATTTGCTGATAATAATTCATTGTTGCATACACCTCCATATTTGCAAAGGTTTATTTTAAATTAATATTTATAATGTGAAGACTTTAAATTCAAGCTCTCTTTTCATTAAGAACTTATTGACCAATTTAGTATAATAATAATCACTAATCACACTCTGAGAACGTGCTATAATAAAATTGATTTCGTCAGAGAAGTTTGACCTGCAAGAGCAATTGAACCCAGCGACACTCATCATCATGAAATTATATTATTCTTGAGCCGGTTTTTCTGAATTATTAAATTGAAATAACAGTAGTGCATGATTTAATCAGTACTTGGTCATTTATAAAACATCTGGTACATAGTTCAGTGATTTAAAAAAAGGATTGGATTTCAAAAAAAAAACACTAGAAAAAATACAACTTGCTAAACAGCTAATAAAACAAGTGTGTGGTGTCATAAACCTACAGAGTTTGTGGACGTTTAAAAATCTTCCTAGATTTAAGGTAGAATATGTTTACTTTCTCCTAAAAGATTTCCAATAACAAATGAAAATTCATTCGTGGAACTGCACCACCTTGTGACTTAAATAAGTTAATTTATTTCCTAAAACAATTAATCAATGATAAATGGGAAAAAGCTCATAACAATGCAGCAAACAACAACAAAATACACTTATTATGCAAAAAGAAACAGCCGTTAACATTCCATACTGGTAATTTATTTTTCTCTGTGTCCTTAAAATCAACAACCAACTACATTAAAGTACGTAGATCGAATTATGAAACGTTTTTGAAGGTGTCCGTTCGTCCGTACATCGTGATTTCTTTATTGCCTTGACAGGAACCAAAACAATAATTCAGTAAGTGTGTGTACGTTTTGAGGTCGCTCACATATCGCATAATGAATAAATAAAATGCTTTTTGCGCTAAAAAAATTGACGTCAAACATGCCTATTGAGTAAGCTGAGGAAGTGGAATAATTATTAGACTTGAATTTCCTGTCCATGCCATGGGTACAAGAATATTGAATTCATTATCTATCATTGTTTGGTCTAATGAAAGAGAAAACATTTTTGATTCACTTTAAGTTTCCACTACATCACATCATTTACTTCAATCGTGATTTTCTGTGTTAATCTGCATGCACAGGAGGTTTTTGTTTATATATTTATTACATTAATGAAAATGAGATTATAAATAAATATATCTTTTATTGCGAATTTTTTCATCAATACTGATGACCCCGTGTTATAAATGACCCGAAAAATCATTATTGATCTATTAGTTAGAAAATTAATTAATTATCTCAATAATTTAACGCTTTGAATAAAATTGTGATTTTATAATTTGTTACTCTATTTGGATCTAATCAAGAAAGCTTTGAATCGATATTTGTGTTGAGTATGTTTTTGATGGAAGATAGGTATACTTACCTACATTTTATCTGCCAAAAGTACCTATTCAAGCAAACATCGTTTCTGTATTCCTAGCATCACAGAAATTAATTTAAAATAAACTGTATTACCTATGTTGCTAGTCATAGTTTTGAAAAACAAGTTACTCAGCTCTCCTTTCCATTGTTTCAGAATGCATTAGATCTCAGTCTACCAGCCAGTCCAGTTTTACTTAAAACGCGCAGCAGCAATTGGTTCCAGCTCAGCGGCCATCCGGACAGTTTGGCACCGGCAGGTCCGGGAACCGTTTGGAAGAAAAGATCTTCAAATTCCGATGATACTGAGAGAATGGTTTATGAAGATCTGTTACAAGATCCAGCCCTCAAAGATATCATTCCAAAGTACTACCGAGAAGTTGAATACCAGGGTGAATTGTTCATAGAACTTCAGGATCTCTTACAAGGATTTCAGGTAGGAATTCAATTTACCCCTTTAAAAGATAAGAATTTCTAGCATTTATTTGTAAATTCATATTCCATTAATATCTTAAATAAAATTCTAAAAATAAAAATAAATAACCGGAAAAAAAGACGTTTCGGCGCATTCCACGCCATCTACATTATTGATTTTCAAAACAAGCTTTGCCTTTCATGTGGAATTGGCAGTTATACTAACCTAAAGAAAAGCTAGAAAGCTTGCACAGGCTTGTTACTCGTAATAACTCAAGCTTTTGCGTATTAAGTTTTCCTTTAGTTTTCTATGTGAAGACAATTTGTTTTCTGGAAATTATAATCTGGAATGTTGGAATAAAATATAAAGAAATTAAATACTGAATTTTTCTTGAAAAATAAATCTATTTCAAAAGGAAAACTGAACAAATTTAATTTAATAGTGACCATTCTGTTTTCCAGGATCCTTACGTTGTCGACATCAAAATGGGCACTAGAACCTTCCTAGAATCTGAAGTACGTAAAACTGTAGCCCGACCTGACCTTTATCAAAAAATGGTAGCTATAGACCCAGAAGCACCAACCGAAGAGGAGCATCGTCAAAAAGCTGTCACCAAGCTTCGTTACATGCAATTCAGAGAGCTTCAATCGTCCACTTGCAGCCAAGGCTTTAGGATTGAAGCCATGAAATGCAGAGGTTCGCCTCCAGTGACTGATTTGAAAAAAGTTAAATCTTTCGAAGAAGTTACTAATACAATGGACATGTTCTTAGGAGGTAGAGAGGATGTGAGACAAAGACTGTTGGCACGCCTATGCGATATTAGGAGTAGAATTGAGCAATCAGAATATTTTAAAACTCATGAAGTGATTGGAAGCAGCTTGTTCATCATATACGATGACACCAAAGTAGGCGTGTGGTTGATTGATTTCGCCAAAACCAATAAATTACCAGATGGAAAGACTGTTAATCATAGGACACCTTGGGTGCAAGGAAACTATGAAGAGGGACTTTTGTATGGATTTGATCGACTTATAACGGTTAGTGTTGTAATCAAAATAATTACCTACATATGATGACACCTTTTACTTCTACCTATTAAAATATTTATAAAAAATGGTGTCATATACACGTCATATGCACCAAGATATAAGCGTCAGACATAATGACACCTTTCACAAATTGTTTTTACCTAACATATTCCAAAAGCTTAGATGGCTATTCTTGATGTTTAACGTCTAATAGGTGCCTTTTTAGTTAATTAAACTCTAAATAAACTGTTTTTGTTTCAGATTATCGACAGCTTTAAGGATCCCCTCGGAAATAATCAAAAGGACTCGTTTACGAAAACCTTGCCAGCAGTCAGTGTTAAGTCTTGAACTACTGGAACAATTTTCTATGGAGTGTATGCTTCGTAAAACCCTGTACATGTGAAAATGTTTGGGGTCTATGACTTGTTATTGTTCTCTGCTCGAGGCTTGATTGTATATTTTGATGTGTTGCCTGAATGGGCCTTTGTATTTTAAAAGTATTATTTTTGTATATAGTTTTTGCATGTCATCACGTGTTCAGGTATGAACAAGCGTGAAACTTTTGTATATTATTCGGTTCTACGATCTTAAGCTTTTTTCAAGTGACTGTTGTCTCATTGTTGATCTGGTTCTTATTTTTATTGCTTCCTATGGATAGACTCACTAAATCCTCTAGTCAACGTTCTTAAAATTTAGTTTATTATTAATTTATAATGATGTTTAGGAAGTAGGTATTCGCCAGGGCCGAGTTCAGAAATAACGCACAGGGTGCGAGTGCGATTTTATGGGTGTGCCTGAATTGACAATTGGCCATTGGGCCCATAGCACCGTCTAGCATTTTTGAACAGCTAGGGCGTCGCACCGGTGTCACACTCACACTGGGTGTGTCATTCCTGAACTCGCCCCAGTTAAATCAAATTTGCTGCTGCTGGATTCTTTGTAAATATTTATTCGATTAATTAGAGTTTTGTACTTGTAAAATTAATTACCAATCATTATTATGTACTTATTTAAATAAAATAATGTTTATTGTATAATTATTCAATTTGTTTTCTTTTTTTTTATTCATCGAATGGTTAGGACTACTATTTTTCAACTATATTGGCCAGATTTTCATTAACCCTTTCATGACTGGCTTTCCAGGAGTGCGGTAATGGAAACAATATGGATAAACTGAGAGATGAAGTCATGATTTCTGCCAATTTTCGATTGTAGTCTGTACTTATATGGCTGTTGTGGCACATAATAAATATAATTTTGTGGAATGCCCCAGACCGCTGGACTTTAAAGAATATTAATTTTGGTTGATTGTTGTTAGTAGTAGCTAACATTTATAGGTATTTCCAAAGTAGCACGAACAGCCGTGTAGAAGCTACAATAAAAAAAATGGCAAAAAACACGACTTTGTTAGAGTTTTTAATATATTTGAGACACTCCGACACAACGGCGGGGCATTCTACAAAATTATATTTGGTTGATTGCTAATTGTGATAGCTCACAGTTATAGCTATTTGCACAGATTCTGCCGATTCTGGGTTCACTAAAACTCACTTCACAGAAAGTAACAACTTTGAACTAATTGACTTCATACAAAATTCACTTATCACTTATCGAAATATACACGACAAATATGAAATTACAACTGACCTACTCACGTTACTACCTAATAGGAGACAGTGTACTCGGGATTTATCTAGAAAAACCTGACGCACTACTTGAATAGAATTCTCCCCCAGGTTATTTCCATGGACTTGGACATGGAGGGGGCCACGTCAGTCAAATATGCCCGACGATTTTTTTCTATTGTTTTTTAATGTTTGATTTAAAACCCCTCAAAAAAAAATAGTAAACAGCCAAATTTGCCCAAACCAAGTATACCGATATGTTCTGTACAGGCCACTCTTTAAAATCCCATAAGGATATAGACGTATCATCGGGCAGTTATGATTGACACGGCCTGGTACGCTAAAGTGTGCGTCAAGCATATATAGGGTGACAATTTGAAAAGTAGCAATCGGGAATATCTCTTAGACAAAAAATACTATCAGGAAGATCTCAAATACGTATCGGGGGATTAGAGGGGGAACCAAAATGAGGCCGTCCTTTCAAAGGTTTTTTATTCCTCTTTAGAGGCGTGACCATTTCATTTCAGCTACAATATAGAAGACTCTTCATCTGGAAAACACAAAAACAATTTTACCAATAAATTGTTGAAAATGTGATATTCGCGATGTTGTCGCTCCGTTCGCCGGATCTCAAAGAGAATATCCTCGAAAACGTAAATCCACCAAAAACCAGAAAAACCAAAAAAAAAACTTGAAATTTAAATTATTTACTCGATTATTTATGAGCTTTCCCCTGGAGTTTTCCATTGCTCGCTTCGCTCACCAAATCTCAAAGAGAAGATCCTCGGAAACGTAAATCCACCAAAAACGCGAAAAACCCTTTTGTAAATATAGCCTTGAAATTTAAATTATTTTTTTTTCTTGGATTGCTCGCTCCGCTCGCCAAATCTCAAAGAGAAGATCCTCGGAAACGTAAATCTACAAAAATGTGAAAAACCCTTTTTTGAAATTTAATTTTTTTTTCTTAGATTGCTCCTTTGTTTCACGAAAATAATGTACAAAGAATATAGGTAGGTTTACGTGAACAAGCATCAACTCAACACAGAGTAGAAATAATTGATTTCTCAAAAACTACTGGATAATCCGCATTTTTTTTTTTTTTTAATACCCTATAGAAGACCCTCTTTCTAATGAAATTAAAAATTTTGCAAAATTCGTGTGTCCGTAAAGGGTACCGGAGCCCAAATGAGATCCTAACCTATTATGGGGGACACCAATTACCAAAAAGAAATAATCAAACCATGATTTTTTGCCTCGGATATCAGTGAAACGTAACTTCAATTGTTAAGAGGAAGTTATTGAAAACATCTACAGCCAAATGCTTAAAGTCTAATACCAAACATGCTCAACTAGAAGTAGCTTACCAAAAATCTGATTTGAAGGGCAGTTAGGATCATAGCTTAGGACAGGTAATTATTATCCTTTTAATAGCTTTACGCTTCCACAATAGTCTACTGCCGAATGACGAATATTAAAATAGATAAGAAAAGAAAGATACAACATAGCAAATGGATTAAGATTAGTGCTAATCCTTTCTTAAGCCTTGTTAAAAGAGCAACCGCACATTGCTTTGTGTCTAATTTCCTTCAAGGCAATCAGAGCTGGAGCTGATACAATAAGGTTCAGGTCATTTTTTTTTTAAGCTAGCAACAAGCTTCTCAAATCCGAGATTAAAAGGTGTTTATTTCACATTTGAGTTAATCCATTCAGTCCAATCCTACAAGTTTGGAGGATTGGATTAAGTACTCGGATCCGGATAAACTCTCTAATCCTGAGTGTTTATTTCAGGATAAATTTTCTTCATTATTGATCCAATCCACTTAGTATCTAGATACAACGCGTGAAAAAAACGTAGTCATTGAGATAAACAAATCCTTCCATCTTTACTTGCTGAAATGCACTAAACACCAATTTCAGATTGTTTCGAAAATGTGATGAAAAACCTTTTGAAAATGATCATTATTCGAATAGCAAAAATTGCCAAAACTACTTAGTGTAAAACAATTATCATTTTTTCATGTAGGTACCCACTCTATATTTATTATGCATCAGATAATATGTACTGGTATTACTGTAGATATATAACTTTTCAATCGATCCACACTGACCAAATATACGTCCAATTCAACGACATCAAAAAGATGCTTTATAGACGTCGTAATACAGGATATTTTTTCTGAATGGGTCATATTGGGTTTTACATGGTAACTTTTGAACCTGTTGGTTTATGTCATGGTCAAATAAACGATAAATGTCCACTACGTGACGTCCCAAACAAGTCATATTTTGCAACCTCTTTTTGACGTCGAACTTTGGTTAATCGACGTAAATCTATTTAAAATTGACGTCATAACGAATAACCTTTTGCTGCTTAGGATGTTGTTGGAATAGGAAAAAAGACCTACTGGAAAACATCCTCCAGCATTTAAAATGTTTGAATGAATTTGGATAAGACGACTTTTTCGCAGATCTGTTTTTGTATTGAAATTATATTCGCTAACATCTAATGTTCTATATCTTAGGTTTATTCATTTTGAGATAAAGGACCCCGCAATATTTAAATGGAAATTGGTTACCCGTGATATTTGGATGAAATTTAAATTTAAAAAAAAAATATTGAAAACTGGAGAAGATGAGTGCTGCCGTTTGGCAGGGTTTTGACAGGTGTCAAAACGGTTAACATTTTTCGACTTGGTCGATTTAGTGGAAATAGATTTTTTGTTCATCAAAATCTGCCATAGTTACTCTGCTTTTGGATATCAGATTCCAATATTTGACAGCTAACCACGCCTCACCTGTCATATATACAGGGTTGTGCCCATGGTAAAAAATGTTGCTTACGGCATCCCCAATAACATATTTAAAATTCATCCAAATATCACGGGTAACCAATTTCCATTTAAATATTGCGGGGTCCTTTGCTGGTAACTATCTGCAAGATAAATTCACAGATCTATAATCCTGTTGGTCACTGGATAATTGGTTGACCAATGGGATTACATATTGCGTTTTTATCCGTCATATTGCATTACCTGAGAGCTTGCCTGACAGTTTATTAGAAAGTGGATAAACCGGCTCTTAATATATGTATTAAGAGGCTCTTGAAAAGCCGGGAATAGACAAAAATTTGAGAATTAGAAGGCAGACATTAAGGGAAAATGGAGTAGATAAGTAGACTTAAGTACCTCCTATATGTTGTTTCTATTCCAGGCTCTTGAATTTTCTTTATATAGAGATATTTAGAAGGAACAATTCAAGAGCCGGGAATAGACAAAAATTAGGACGGAAAAATTCAGAAATTTAGAGAAGAAATTTAAGGAAAATTTCCAAAAAACCGAAGTATCTGTAAGAAGAAAACCATCATTCGACTATTTCACAGATTTAATGGGTTTGCCTAGGTATTCTCTGATATAAATTAAAAGCTTAAGCTTTGGCAGATGGTTTAGAGCGGAAAGATTGCCTAAATGAACTTCCAGGTAAGGATGAGATTGATCAATTCGCCAACAAACTGCGTGAACCAGGGATAAAGTCCATCCCTAGGGAATCCAGAAGCCTGAAAGCCAGGAAGGCACCAGGTCGCAAGGCAACTGAATGGGGAAAAGCCTAGAAAGGCTGTAACGACCTTTTACTATCATGACCTTTTACCTTCTGGGAGTGAAACACTTCTAATAGAGTAGACATAACGAGTATGCTATTATTTCCTATTTCAGGCTTTTGAATTTTCTCTGTTTGGAGGTATTCCGAAAAAACAATTCAAGAGCCGGGAATAGACAAACATTTAGACAGAAAAATTTGAGAATTGGAAAGCAGAAATTTAGGGAAAATTGAGTAGATAAGTAGACTTAAGTATCTTTTGAATTATCACTGTTTGGAGACACCTCAGCTGACCACAATCACCAGTGTGTCATCAGAAAGACTTCCAATTTTGGTAATTTCATTTAAAGTATAAACCCTGAATTATTCTCCAATCTTGGAAGTCTTTTCGACGTTTTAAGTTAATGGCCTTTTCTTTTTGCCGTCTTAAGTTGGTTTTTTCGACGTCTTAAATCGATAGAGCGAGTCCAAATTAGTCAGAAACAACTGTAACATCAGTTACATTTGAAAATTTCGATGAGAAAAAAAATCCAAAAAGGAAATCTAGTTTTTGGCTCTGGACATTTTTTGGAATCTTGACATGTTCATGAATAATTGCTCATATCTCATGATATTTGAGAAAATTGCCTACAATTATACATCATTGAAAAGAGTATTGAATTCTCTGTAAGCCGTGCAAAATTAGTTAGGTACTGTCACTTGTGAAGTTACCGCGATCATTTTGCACTTCAAAGTTGAAATTTTGTCGAGAACTTTAAACTCGATTTTCTCAAAAACCGTAAATGCTAGCGATTTCAGCGAATCACCATTTCAAAGCTTTCATTGACAGCTACAATTGAAGATAATTTCGTCCCGGTACTGCTTTTGGTTACCGAGATATTTAGGTTTGAAGATTTGCAAATTAAAATTCAAAAGGGGTACCCTTAGGAAAAAGTACCAGAAACTGAACATTTTTATTTTTGGATTTCTCTCAATTCTGACATTTGTTGACGATAGAGCGAGTCCAAATTAGTCAGGAACAACTCTCACATATTGGTTACATTTGAAAATTTCTATGAGAAAAAAAATCCAAAAAGAAATCCCATTTTTGGCTCTGGAAATTTTTTGAAATCTTTACATGCTCATGAATAGTCTTTATATCTTCAATGAAATTTGGAAAATTGCCTACAATTATACATCATTAAAAAGAGTAACAAATTCTCTATAAGCCCTGCAAAATTGGTTTTTGTAACTTGTGAAGTTTCCGGGATACTGAACTTCAAAGTTGAAATTTGGTCGACATTTTGTCCAAAACTTCAGACTCAATTTTCTCGAAAATCCTAAACGATAGAGAGTTCAGTGAAGTAGGGTAGGTACTACTACTACTACTGAAAGACAGTCAAAATTACTAGTTTTCAAAATGTGCTTACTTTTAAACACCGATGTCTCGAAAACTAATCGTACAATTTAAGATTTTGAAGTAAGACTGTAAAGGGAAAGCAACGAGTTATCCAACGATGTGTATATAGCATAAGGTAGATTCTTATTTGAAAAAAATACGTTAGGGTAGCTACCCCTTTTAAGGGGGGAGGTAGGGTGACTCAAAAAGTACTTCATTTTGGTTCCTTCTCCAATCCCCCGATACGTATTTGGGATCTTCCTAATAGTATTTTTTGTCTAAGAGATATTTCCGATTGCTACTTTTCAAATTGTCACCCTGTATGTCCGACGTGGCTTGAATGGAAACATCACTGTCAGGCAGTTACGTTCGATGCGGCATGCAATGTGTCAAACTGTTATTTTGATCATCAGTAACTTTTTTGCACTTTCTTTTGCTCCCTTCAAAATTCCTAATTTTAATTTGGGTGCCTACAGCTTATTTCTAGGATTACTCTGTGTCGAGGATGTAGTATTTAATGCAATGATTTAATGTCTGTTGTAATGCGTTCTTTCTTTTTTTAGGTTTCTATGCATTGCTTGTTTTTATGATTTAACTGACGTTCTACTTTTGTGTGTTTTTTTAAAATATTAATGCTGATTGTTCTTAATGCTAAAATAACAAAAAAAAATCAATCTTACACGATCACAAAGTAATATTAGATAATAGCAAATTTTTATTCTAATCTTATTTTATGTATTTTACTTTTAGTGTTTCGGTTAGCTATACCAAGCCCTTCTTTATAGATTTACCCATGCACTTATTTTTTAGGATTAAAAATTAAGAATTAAGGTATAGTCCAAGAAACGGGGATCTGAAAAGAGGGTTTACCTCAACATAATTAGAAGTTAACATTTTTTTGGGGAGATCGGTCCATTTTAATATGCTGAATAATATATTAAGTTTGCGACTTTGTACTTCCATAGGGTTGTTAGTTAGGGATGGTTTTTAGGGGTAATTTGCGGTTTATGGAGAACGCTGCTCAAAGGGGTGGTCCAATAACAAAAAGTTTCAAATGATTGTTGAAGCTGAAGTTTTTTGCTATAAAAAACTCAGCGACAGCACCCCTCTATCTTCTTTAGTTTTTTTTCTGCAGCGTCTTGAATAGTAGCATGTTTTTGTTCAAGGTCACTAAGTCAACATTTCGCCTGTTTACGCGAACTTGACGCAGCAGCGGCCGAATCCATAATCCGATTTCAATTTTTCAAACACCACATTATTGCTAATGAAATGCACTCTCCAATGCTTTTTTGTTCGAATTTTTTGCTTGAAAATTAAGCGAGCACGGACTTGCCTAATGTGCGAGGAAGTTGTAAATTGCATCGAAAACTACCCCTTTCTTGCATTCACTGTAATTTCTAAACGGGGCCAAATATTTGGTGACAATTTTGACAATCGGCTGCCCATTTATTCCTCTTATAATACCCCAGCGAATTTTTTTTTTCGTTAATTGCTCAATGACTTATTGGCCTGAACACGTCGCGCGGAATTTTTCAAGAAGTCAAAAAAAATTAAAATTGTCGCACAGCGCTGAAATTTGTTTTTCTACGATGGTTTTATTTATTGTTCTTATGAATATATTGCAATTTTAATTGCTTTTAATTGCTGCAACAATTAGAATTGCAGTATTCATGAGAACAATAAATAAAGCCCCATAAATGGCGGCGAAGAGGACTTTTCAAATACATTGTTTTAAACAAGAGTACGCTCACTTGTCGGAAGAGCACCGATCGGCATACTCCCATTTGAAACAATGTATTATGAAAAATCCTCTTCGCCGCGCTGCCGTGCGCTGCGCTTCAGTGAGGGTCACCCTTTAAGGGGGTTGAATGCGCCGTTTAAAATATATTGTAACGCACGTCGAACTTATACAACTACCCAACAAGTTAATACTAATAAAGATGCGAGGTTCATTGCGATCATTACATTGGGCTACTGTTGGGCCGGTTAGCGCTCGATCGTTCATGAGGGCGATTAAAAATGTATCGCAAAACAGGCGGAGGAAAGAGCCATAGGGTTTGCTGCGGGTATAACAGACAGATAATAGAGCAGGCGCTACAAGTAGTTGAGTATGCAAAATGTGAGGACCGGCAAAAATGCTCAAATTCATATTCCTGTGATCCTAAAGAAAGGGAAAGTACATGTTGCCGGCAGCTGGAGTGGTCCCTAACTCTCCTGCCATCCCCCAATGCAAAGTTATATGGAAAATATCACAATTTCAAGTCATTTCACAATAATTCCTATTGATTGTACCTAAGGCTTTCTTTCCAAGCACTCAAAATAAATTACCTACCACTTGTTGGATATTTTTGCGATTCTGCTCCAAAATATACACAAGTAAAATAAGACTGCGAGATGTACAGGGTCATCCAACGACGACTGAACAGGTGCCTATTTTTGACCTTCCCTGTTCCTGTAATTTTGAAAAAAATTCAAAATAGCCAATTGGCATATTTTTTTCTGGAGAATTCAAAAATGGTGATTTTTTTGTACCATTTTTATATTCTCCAGAAAAAAAAATGGCTATTTTGAATTTTTTCAAAACTTCAGGAACAGGGAAGGTCAAAAATAAGCCCATGTTCAGTCGTCGTTGGATGACCCTGTACATCTCGCAGTCTTCTTTTACTTGTGTATATTTTGGAGCAGAATTGCAAATATATCCAACAAGTGGTAGGTAATTTATTTTGAGTGCTTGAGAAGAAAGCCTTAGGTCGTAGGAATCAATGGGAATTATTGTGAAATGACATGAAATTATGATATTTTCAATATAACTTTTGCATTGGGGAATGGCAGGAGAGTTAGGGACCACTCCAGCTGCCGGCAACATGTACTTTCCCATTCTTTAGGATCACAGGAATAGGGTTTTGAGCATTTTTGCCGGTCCTCATATTTCGCATACTCATTTCCGTCTAACTCCTGGTCTAAAAATGAAAAGAAGAATTAATTAAATTCCTACAAAAAAAAACTAGATAATTTTTGGAATTCTAATTCATGCCATTGTATAGCTAACACACATAAGATTGGCGCTTATAAAAAAAAAAAACACCATAAATTAATTATTTTTCTCGTTTTTTTCCAGTTTAAATTACATTTCTGTAATTTTTCGAGAACTTGTTTCTACTATCGGATTTCTAAAAAGATAGCGCCATTCGTCCCTATATTATAAATCCAATGCAAAAAAGAAATTTGATATAACTTCAACTGTTAAAAAGTTAGGTTCAAATTAAGAAGGCAATGCATTCCTTGTTTCATTCATCTCATTTCCACTACGGAGTATTAATAGGAGTGGAAGAATACAGCAGTGATAGACGGCGTTAGGTGCTCGATTCTCATCGGAGGCAATACATTTTTTGCAGTTTTTATTCTTTTTTAAAGATTATTAAGAAGACGCGGGTTAGTATGGGACGCGGGTTAGTATGGGACGGGGTTAGTTTGGATTAGCTCTGTTTCCGTTTAAAATACTAACACAAAGACTAGCATTTATTACGAAATACGATACTTATTTAAGGTGTGCTCTAGGAGCTCCACGCGTGTTGACGCCCTACACTCGAAAGCGGCACTCGGTAAACAAGCATGAGCGAATTGCAGTATAGTATTATGATAGTATTGCCACATTTCGGAAAAACCAAAAAAAAAAAAGAGATTTAAGGGAATGTTCCAGGGAGAAATTTTGTTGCAAAAAGTTAGACCCATAATAAGCACCCCTTGTCGTTCCAGAAAAAAAAATAAAACAGAACTGTGTCGAGTTTGCGAGGTTCAACCTCTTTTTCCTGGTCTACGACTGGGACAAAGAAAAAGCATTTTTACTCAAATATTTATTATTGATATAAATTAATTAAATAAATAAATAAATAAATAAACAAATAAATAATAATCATAAATATAAAATAATAAAATATCACACAGAAAGAGTATTTTACTGACTAGACTTAAAATAAAATTGCACCTACAAAAAAATAATTGCAATATCATTAATAAATTGGTATAATTTCGACTAGGTTACTAAGAACTTCAGTATTTTTATCAGCAATATCATAATAGCAAAACACTTTCTTAGTTTATTAATTAAGCATATGTAACTTCAGAATCTTACATAGAATCATCAATTATAGGTAGGTACTTGTTATTTACAGTTCATTATGTAGAAATATTTTATTAGAGTACCGAATATTTTAGAAATTATTCATTATATAGTTTGCAGTTGTTTCTTAAATTTGCCTTAAATCATCACGAGGAATAAGAAATGCAACTTAGCATACCTATTATGGAATGCATAAAAATATCAATATTTAAGTTAGGAATAAATTAGGTATGTGGTTTCAAAACTTCTGTAAAATATCCATAACAGAATAGATAAGGGAACCATTTTGCAAAATTCATAAGCGAAAGACAAATTTAACTTAAGCTAATGTCTAGAGTATTGATTAAGCATTTGACATCGTGTTCACGATTTTTGTTTTTCTTAAATTAAGTATTAGTATTTCTCTAATTGTTTTGACTAGACTATATTTTGCACGCATGCTATTTAGTCTATACCTACTGTTAAAAGAGATCATAATGAAGTTAATGAAAGCTGATGTTCGAATATTCACATTTTTTTTTTTTTGGTTAATTTAGTGTTGAACTAGTTGTTTATTGCACAAAAATTTGAACCCTGTTAAGGTACCATTAAGCATTCACATTTACAATATAGGTACCTAGGATAAAATAATGCTCCTCAAAATAAATGTCTGCCTTCTATTTACACTTTCCAAATAAAATATCTTAACATTTGCAAAAATTAGGCATTTCTTAAGATCCGAAAAGCAAAATATTCATGCCAATAATTATTGTAGAAACCTTTCGGACATAGAATAATGCCAACCAAAATTATTGTGAAAGTTTCGTTGTTTGAATTTTACTACAAATGAAAACCTATTTTGGTTGGCGCTAAACTAATGCAACTGAACCCTCAGGGAGATTTGGACGATCTGACTGGTGAAGTACTAACGGATCTACTCATTGTTTTAGATAAAGATCTTGTTGCTGATCGCCTGAAATAATAAGGACTCCTGCTACTGTAGCTGCTTTCTGAACTTGGCGAAATTCTGGTATAGGGAATCGGTCTTTTTCTTGCACTGTGTTAGTAAAATAAGTTAGTTGTTAGTTACGATGCTAGCCTACACATGCAACTTACCGAAAAGCTTACTAAAACAATGCACAAAACTAAATAAATGAAACAAAAATGAAAGGTAACAAAAAAAAAATTTATTGGTGATATTTTAATCAAATAAACACAAAATCAAAAAAAAAAAAAACACTCATAAGTACTTAAACTATTACATAGGTAAAAACAAAATATGTGTGTCCGAATTTGAATTCGTGAACAGATATAAATAATGTTCTGGGAGTAAATAATATGGGCTCTAATCTCCTATTTGTGTCTGAAATAAAAAGCGAAATCAACAATAATTAACTACTGAAAGTGCATGAGCATAAAATAAACAACTGAACATAGAAGAAAGAAAGAATATCAATCATTTGTATCTGTTAACCTTAAAGACCTAATACACGAAAAGGAGAGAATCGAACTGTAGGATAGATAGGTACACGCTCCTCGGCAAAGCAGAATATACTTAATAAATAGTAAGCGATCATAGGCGTGCATATGTGCGTTATCTGTATTTATTTCATCAGGCGTTTATATTCTTATTTCAATGCAACAAAAACTAGCAGAAGTAATTTCTAGTACAAAGACAGCAACAAATATAGCGACAGTATGTTTTTATTGTACAAATAATACAACTGTATGAAATTTGATAAATGGAATTGATGCAAGGTAAAATTGCAAGGCTATAGCCTTTGGTCTCGTGGTTTATTAGGTCTTTGGTTAATACACAGACTAAAAAAGCTTGACATTTTAAACTTCAATAATTGTGAAATTGAAGTCAATGCGAAATTTAGATTACCTAATGTTTTTCTTTTTTTTTTTTCAAATCTCTCACTAACTTGAATTTCATAATTTTTCTTTCAATTAAAAATTCGTCACTCTTCCATTAAAAAAATAAATAAAAAATAGAATCAAAAAATTATACACAATTAACTACCAACTGAATAAATAGCTAGTAAATTCACCTGGTAATTCTCCTCCGAGACAAAAAGCTAGGAGATCCATGCCTCCTAGGAATAGATATCGATCGGGATCTTCTAGAAGAACAACTGGAGCTATAAGATGATCTTGACGAACTTGATCTGCTACTTGAGCGAGATGAACTGTCTGAGTCACTGGATCTTGAAGAAGACCTGCTCGAGTTGGAACTAAAAAACAAACAATATTTTTTTATAAGTTTTCATATTAATTTTGTTCAGTTACCTTGTGCTAGAATCTGAAGAGCTCGAACTGGTGGATTCAGACCGACTTTTGGATCTTGATTTGGATTTACTGTTGCTGTGGCTTCTTTTACGTTTTATATCGAAATCGTCTTTATCTATATCGGTCTTTTTTGATGGCAGCTCTTTACTCTCAGTCAAACAAGTTGTTTTCGATGGTAAATTAGTTGAAGCCATAGCTGGTGGCTCTGTTTTCTCCTTCATCTTCTCCAAGGCCTCCTTGGCCTTTGCTGCCAGCTCAGTTTTCAACATTTTCAACATTTTGACCTCCTTTTCATCAATCTGCACTGGTTCTTCTTTGTCACTCTTGTCCGATTGTTCTGGTTCACTAGAAGACTCCCTCAATTTCACTACAGGCGTAATCTTTTTGGATCTAGGAGATTTGGTTTTTGACTTGACGTGTTCCATAGAACTTCTGGATTTGGATCTGTTTTTTCGAGGACTTCTTGAGGGTCTTTGGGAAGTTAGTGAGGGTTTCCTTTGTTTTGCTGGTACAGGACTCTGGGATTTAGTCTTATTGCAAGATTTAGGAGTAAATGATCTTGATTTTCTTTTCCTGACATGAATGGGTGGCGATGACAAAGTTTTGGAGTGAATGGGTTCACTTGACATTTCCTGTGAATGACCTCGCATTCTTTTTACATTCAGATCCCAATATCTTTTAGATGATGATATGTGGCTCCTTGAGTGTGAGTCACTTTCAGTACGTTCTCCTTTCCGTTCTGTCTTATCAACACTTCTACTCTTATTTCTGTAATCTCTTCTTTGAACACTGTCCCTTCTTTCCCGTCTGTTTTTGTCCATGCTGGTGCGGTCTTTCGCTCTTTTTCTTGGTGGTGATGGTGTCTTTTTGTCACGTTCTTTTTCCCTAGAAGTTCGTTTAGATCTACTTCTGTCTCTAACAGAGAGTTTCTCAGTGCTTCTATAATTTTTTTCTTCATAAATTTCCTCATCTCTGCGTCTCTGTGCTGATACAGGACACGTATTTTTCTTTTGATGTTCATATTCTGACCTTGAATTTTTCCTTCCTTTATATGATGATTTTGTCCGATTTTCCGCAGGTGATCTCCGTTTTTTCTCAAATTGTTCTGGTGATCTTTTCCTTTCAGCAGGTGACATTTTTCTTTGATCAACTGAACTATTTCTATGGTTTTTGCTGTCTCCTGACTTTTGACGCCTTGAAGCTTCTAACTTTCTCGTCCTTGATTCCTTGGAAGCTTCTAGGTCTTCTGATTCTCTTGAAGCTTTCGAAGGCCTATATCTTGATTCAGTATCTTTTTTGTTATAAGCTGACGTCTTGCGAGATCTTGATCCACGCTCACGCTCCATTGATTTTTTACGCTCTTCTAATGAAGTAGATCGTCTTGACTTATGGCTTTCATAGTATTTATTGCGTTGTTTATACCTTTCATTATCAGATCGTTTGCCATTTCGTTCTCTAGAATGATTTCTTTCTGGTGATTTGCTTTTGTTGGATGTTTTGTGAGATCTCTCATTCCTGTAACGACTTCTGCTTTCTCTTGAAGAGGAGCTTGATTCTCTTTTATTCTTTTTTGAATATTTTCCATTTTTGGATTGTTTTGATTTTGCTTCCCTCAAATTCTTATCTCGGCCCTTTCTGTCATCTTTGGTGGGTTTTTTTGCTTCCGGGGAACTTTAATAAAGAAAATAAATATTATAAAAAAAGCCAGATTACAGTTTTTTATGAACTGAAATGTGTATGCAATTAGGTTTTTTTTACTCACCTTTCTGAACTTTGAGAAACATCCCTTCTCTTCTTTTTGGATGACTTCTTTTTCTGCAAAAAAAAAATTTAATTTAGGTAAATAGGCATCTGAGGAATGGTTCAGAGAGGGTAAAAGTATTGCTCAATAAATATTCTTTTACCAATTCATGCAATTACTTTTTCCTTTGGTAATTTATGTATTTTGTTTCTGTGTTGTGTTGTGTCATTGTTTTCCCCCTTTTTTTTTTGCTGCCAAATTCCTTTTAGTTTATGAAATACAGGGTGATACAATTTAAATTTGAAAGTTTTATAATTTTTTAGATTTTATAGATTTTTTATGTCATTTTTACAAAGGAAGTGAAGGGCGCTTTCTGAAAATTACATAAAAAATCCAGGTCCGTATTTAAAAAAATGAAGTTGATGATGGTAGCTCGATCACGAAACGTCGGATTTAAAATTTGAAGATACCATGTTATAGAGCGAAAAAAATTATAAAACTTTCAAATTTAAATTGTGTCTCGAAAATCAATAATTTTCGAAATAATTGATGAAACATTTTTGGGCGTTTCTTAGAAATCACCCTGTATTTCATGAACTAAAAGGAGTTTGGCAACACTGTAAACGAGTCTTAACTGGGCACCAAAAAAAAAACAACTTTTTTTTCTAATTTAACCGACCTTGTAGCTCTTACCGTTTCGGATATAGCAATAGTGGTATCACTTAAAATAAACAGCACATACGTATACTGCAGAAAATTTTTGAAAATTTGACAGTATACTAATGTCAATGGGGGCAACCCGGCTAAAATATTTTCAAGATGATGGGACTTCCGGTTATACCGGAAGTAGACGTCAACTTCCTTATTTCAAATAAGACACCCTGTATTAGATGGTATATTTGGATTCTACGTAAAATTTTGAGCAGATTTCATGTGGTATACCCTATACCTAAGTTCAACTATTTTGGAAATATTGACAGTTGGAAATTGACATTTTGCAACTTTGACAAGCTGTAAGATCTAAACGGTTAATTTCAGAGGAAAACCGATTTTACATTCCTACTCAGATTTTCATAAACTATCATTTGACACCAACTTTGAATTCAACCGGAGATTAAATTTAACTGGAATTTTTAATCATGGATTAAATTCAAAATCGGCGTCCAATGATAGTTTATAAAAATCTAAGACAGGAATGTGAAATCGGTTTTCCTCTAAAATTAACCGTTTAGGTTTTACAGAGAAGCAAAAAGTCAATTTTCAATTGGCAATATTTTCAAAACAGTTGAACTTAGGTATAGGGTATATCACATGAAAACTGCTCAGAATTTTACATAGAATACAAATATGCAATCTAATAATCCTGGGGGGGGGTAATTACCCCTATTACCCCCCCCCCCCCCCCCCGACGCGACGCCCCTGGCATAACATGTTCCAATATAAAAAAAAGTTTCTTAGCTGATAACGAAACTATTGTTTATGCACTTCAGGGATTAAAAGTACCCTTTTAATCCCTGTTTTAAGAGAGTAAAGTGGGTCTTTTAATCCCAGGGATTAAATTTCACTTTATTTCCCAAGGGATTAAATTTTTACTCTATTTCCCGGGGATTAAATTTTACTTTATTTCCCGGGGATTAAAAGTACCCTTTTATTCCCTGTTTTATTTAATCCCCGGGAAATAAAGTAAATTGCATAAAATATTGTATACACCTCAGGACTAAAGTGTTTTTTAATCCCTCGACAAATTATAGCCCTCCCTTCGGTCGGGCTATTAGAACTTTTTGTTTCGGGATTAAAAGTACCACTTTAGTCCCTAGGTGTATAATGTACTATTATTTACGACATATATTATTCCCGCAGGGATTAATGGTCATTATTCCCATGCACTTGCACACCAATCGCAAAATTTCTCAAATTAAATAAGTAGTACCATGGAAACAATATACCTGAACAAACTCAAAAGTGTCAGTGTCAAACGCGTAGTGCTTGTGTATTGAGATGGATGAACAAAGAGCGTTTTTGGAAAGAAAATTTCAAATAAATTAATTTGTCGTAAATAAAGTAGAGTATACTACTCGCAATAATGGCTATTATTCCCTCGGAATGTTACTCCCTCGCCGCTAACGCGGCTCAGTTCGTAACTATTCCTCGGGAATAATAGCTATCATTATTGACTTGTGGTATAATCTACTATTAATAACATTCAGTTTTTGTTTTCGAGACTCTCGAAATTTCGAGAATCTCGAATCGAGATCGAGAAATTGTCTTCGAGAAAAACATCGAGACGAGATTTTGTTGATTTCTCGTCTCGATGATCGAGACGAGACGAGAAATTGCCTTCGAGACGAGATTTCTCGTCTCGATGAAACCCTAGGTGAAAGGCTGATGGAGCCCCCTGAAAACTTTGACAATTATGTGAATAATCGGACACCGATATGTAACTGGGAAGACACCGGAAGAACAGGAACTATTAAAAAGAATAAACGAAATAAGCCCCATAATCAAGAACGCAATGCATCTGGTGAAAGGTTCGAAGCCCCAAGACAAGATCCTCAAAGTAGATCTGACAGAAATCTCAGAACTGAACAGGGAACGGTAAGACGGATGCGACTTCAGGTGGATGCAACAAGTATGCCAACATTCAATGGAACTAGTAATATAAGTCCTGCAGAGTTTCTGGAAAAATTAGAATGGTGGTTGGATGATCAAAGGGCCATAAGAGAGGAAAAATTGGGATGGGCACGAAGAAATTTGAGAGGTGAAGCAAAATTATGGGCTGATATTTTTTGCGGTGATGTAGAAGAGTTTGAGGAATTTCAGACCAAGTTATGGAGTAGAGAGAGAGACAACGGGAAATAGTCCAACAATTATACAGGGTGGCGCAAAATGAACGGTATGATTTGATTGTTTTATAACTTTTTTATTAAAATTTTTAATTTCCCTTTCGTTTCAGAATTTTGTAAAGAAGACTTGGGGAATTTAAAATGGAACAATGCACGATACAACAACGAACAATAGTATATTATGCAATGATCATGTAATGATAGCCATTAATACACGAGCATGTTGTAGGATACGAAACGAGCCGCAGGCGAGTTTCGTATATAACATGCGAGTGTATTAATGGCCATTACATGAGAGTTGCATACACTATTTTTTCTACTGCCATTGATAAAACTTATGATATTTAGATATGTCAACATTATGCTTAACTTTGAATAGAGATTTTATAATTGAGTAATCCATACAGTTGAAGGTTTCATTTTTTGTTGTAATTCTTCAAAATATACTATCAAAACATTTTCTGAGAAGGACGATGTGTTTTTGGTGTTTCCAATCCATAAATTGTCCATATAATTTTTCGCAAATTTTCTTGGACTTGTCCGGTAGTATATTATTAACTGCATTTGTCGCCCTTTCTGTAATTTCTAGAGGTGTTAGTGAAAATTCTTCGTTATCACTCAATATTTCCATAATAATGCCTTATCCCAAACATTAGGTAACTTTTAATAACAATTCGAAGTATTTTTTTCATGAAATTATTGTATTTCGCTAAATTACCATGGAAAAGCTATAAACAGAGTACTGTCATCATTCAAAAAAAAAAAAAATTCAAAATTTCTTAACTGGTGGCGCCATCTATTGACAATGCATAATAATGAGAAAAGTAAAAATTCTTCCTTATCACTCATTATTTCCATAATAATTATTCTTTGTCCCAAACTTTAGGTAACTTTTAAACAATTCGAAGTCTTTTTTATAGTTATCAAAATAATTGTTTTACGCAAAATTACCGTTAAAAATGTTTAATATCTTAACTAAGGCTGCCATCTATCAACATTGTATAATATTAAAAATGAGTATTATAATGAAAATCTGTATCGTAATGAAGTTCATTATAATACAGATTTTAATCGTTTAATAGCGTATTATGAAATGTCAGTAGAAAAAAATCATTAAATTATACTTTGCGCGTGGAAACTCAATTATTGTTCTTACACAGTGTGCATATCGTCGGTATTTTAATGTGCGTGTTGGACCCTCCGTGTCAACAATAAATCTCTGTGGTGCCGAAAGACCACATAATGAAATCCGTGCCATAACTCCTGAATTTTTGCAAAAAGTCATGCAACATGTGTCGGAAAGAGCACGACTGTGCGAAGCAGAAAATGGCAGACTCTTGCGAGATGTCATTTTTCACATTTGAGTCAAAAATTTTCTCCATTCATAAACTGTGTTAAAAAAAATACAATAACAATTCACTTGAAAATAAAAAAGTTACAAAGCATTCAAATCATAACGTTCATTTTGCGCCACCCTGAATAAGGGCAAATATCACAAGACAGATGAAAGCTCTAAAATGTCATTCTACTTTTTGAAAATGCTGAAAACTGCCAAATATATCATCACCCACTTATGCCATGAAAAACTAGTTGACTTAGTGATCGATCATTTTCCAATTGACATTTCCAGAATTAATTTAGTAGTAGAGCAGCCGAAGATGTATATGCTACTTTGGAACGATTTGATCTGCTAGAAGTAAGAAACCAAAGAAAGTCATCAAGTCAAGGAAGATATCATTCGGAAAATATAGGAAGATTTGACAACCAACAAGTTAGGCAATTTGGTTCGCCTAATAGGTCAGACAGTGATAGGCATGAGTTTAGGAGGCAAGAGCATGGATCTGGCAATGGTGTGAGAAGACAAGAATTCAACAGTCATAGGTTTAGCGCACCTAGACAGCAGAACGGTTTTTCACAAAATCATAACAGAGACAGATTTGAAGATAAGAGAAATTCGATAGGAAATAGAAGAACAATGCCTATAGACAGTTTCAGAACAGAGAGCTAAAAACTTCAAGAACACTGAACAGAAATGGAAATAGAGCCGATTGGCAAGACAGAAGAATAAATCAAAGGCATAATGAACAAAGCTCATCAGATAAAACTAGAAAGTCTAATGTAACAACAGTAGAAGTGGATATAGAAAAAGAACCACACTGTGAGAAAAAGGATCATGAAAGACTCATTAGGAAGCAAAATCATCATAAAACAAAGGCTCAGGAAGAGGAATATCCGAACATTGAAGGTTCTGAGAATTAAATCCACTGCAACACAGTATTCTATGAAAACGAAAAACATGCAGAAAAGAAAACAAATATTTCACCAACAATTGAGGCAGAAATTGAGGGTCTTAAATGTGATATTCTGATTTACTCTGGTTGCCAAACAGGTTGTTTGTTTATCAATGGTATTTTATGATGAAATAAAAAGCCAAAAGCAGTCAAAAATCAAAATCAAAATCAAAAAAGGTTTATTTCCAAAGAAAGATAAGATAATTATCACAATATGATACAATAATAATAACAGTTCAGGGGCACAGTAGACTTATCGTCTGTGGGTGCACCATAGTGATTATACAGGGTGTTTGGTGCATCGCTTGCCAAATCCAACTGCCTGAAAGAGGGGGCCATTTGCCAACCCTTCAGCCACAAAAACTCATCCCCGATCCCACGGGTTCCCCGCCCAATTTGATCTTCTTAACCTCCCCTGAATCTCAAAATTCGCCATTCAAACTTCATTCCAAAAAAAAAGCCGCTGGCCCAGTCTGTATTGTCTTTACCAGTTACAAATATCTCAATAATAGGAGCCATAGGAAACTGGAGTAAAAAAGTAAAAGAACAAACTTTTGTCACACTGAAGTTGGAAAACGAACAATTTCCCATAGTGTGTTTGGTTGTAGAAGACCTGATACACAAATGTATATTGGGCATGGACTGGATGTCTGCTAATAAAGCAATTTTGGATTTTGACAAGGAGAAATTAATAATTGAAAAAAAAAAGATATACCATTACAACAGATCGATAGTGAACAAAATGAAGTGATAACCATCAAGCTAGAATCTGAAGAATCTTTGAGCATGACAGTGGAATGTCAAAAACTAGTGGATCAGTACAAAAATGTATTTTCTGAGAAGCCACGTCTATCAATGACATATATGCACGAGATAACTTTAAAAGATGATATACCATTTAAATCTAGGTCGTACCCAATACCATATGCACACCAGGATGCAGTTCAGAAAAAAATAGATAAAATGTTGGAAAAAATAAAAATTGTCAGAAGGTCAGATACACCATATATTAATCCCATTGTGGCAGTAGTAAGGAAGAATGGAAGCGTAAGAATTTGTTTGGATGCTCAAAATTTGAATAAACAGATTTTAATGGATCACGAATGCCCGCCGCCAGCCGAAGAAATACTTTTATCAAAAAAGCCCTTCACTTTAATATAAAAATCAAACATTTTTATGGGAAAGAAAATCTTGTAGCGGATACACTGTCAAGATATGGGCAAGTTGGAGAAGAAACTGAGGTATAGGAAAACAGGATAACCATCGCGTCAGTAAATATGAAACTCGATAAGGAAGTTATTCCAAAATTAAACGCACTGCCCAAGCTGCAGCTTGAAGATCCGACGATTAAATCGATTATAGACAAATTACAAAAGGGGGACGATCTACCATTTTACAAACTTCAAAATAATGTTTTATTTGAAAAGGAAAAGACGCAACTTGTGACAATTTATCACAATCAATATGGTCATTTCGGTGTACGGAAGACGTGGAAACTTGTAAAAACCAGCTTTGCAACAAAGAACATGAAAGTTTTATACAGGACCGTTAACTCCAACTGATGAGAGAATCTTGTGGCTGTATATGTGTTTGGACCACTACCAACATCTGTAGGAGGAGTCAAATATGTATTTGTTATATTGAATGTATTAACTAAGTATGTCAAATTATATTCGATGAAACATCAGACGGCAAGAACCATAGTAAATAAAATGAAGGATTATATGACCAGAGTATGAAATGCAAGACGAGTTCTGTCAGACAATGCCACTCAATTTACTAGCAAGGGTTGGAAAGAACTTGTGAACAAATGGAAGGTCGAAATAATTCATTGCAGTGTACGTAACCCACAGGGAAATCCATCAGAAAGAGTCATGAGAGAGTAGTTGGCGAGATGGCTGCGTATATTAGAAGTCAAATGCAGGTTGGGCAAAATGGCTGCCTGAAGTGGAAACGTTAATAAATTGTGTCACACATGAGTCAACTGGATTTGCACCAATATAGTTGGAGGATTCTACGATTTCCAGACGATGAACCACACAATAATTTACTGACTTTAAAAACTGCAAAAGAAACCATTATGAGAAGAACTAATGAAAGGAGATTGAAGCAAAAAAGGAACGTAAATTTCACTGGGTATAAGAAAAAACAGTTAGTGTGGCTGAAATCAAACAATATTTCGTCACTGGAAAATCAAGAGATACAGAAATTATTCCTGCTATATGAAGGCCCGTTTAGAAATAAAAAGTTAGCTGGCCCAAACTCTTATGAACTTGAGAACTTGGAAGGAGTCAGTAGAGGCATTTTTAATTGCAGGAACTTAAAACAGCATAACAGTGATATTATTGACTAGCAGTTCAAGTTTACGTTGGAGCTCTGCAGTTTGGTGTGGCTATGGAAGATATTCAGGGAAAATGGAATTTTGTTGTTAAATTGATGATTGATTTTTTGAAACAAAATCCCTAATCAATTGGTAGGGCTATGGAACGTACCACTTAATAAATTAAGAACCTAGTGCAACATCTGTAGGTGCGTGGGTGGCAGAACAACCAGCTTTAAAGCACGGCTTCACTTAGGTGTTCAGGATTGTACTCATTTGGAACGTTTTCTTGTCTGGAACTGGATTGGAGGACGCCAGTTGCGTGGACCTGATTTTCAACACATACCAGTCAGCTCAACTGAGCAAGCAGCAAATAAGAGGCAGTCGCCGGTAAGTCTACCAGCTCGGGATTTCACCCCGTTCACCTCTGTTCAATGGTTCTGCGAGAGATTGTTGGTTCTACTAACCTGCACTAAGCCAACTTCCATCAACACACTGTAGAATCAAGATGAGTACCTATCTGTTAAGATTTAGGTTCGAGTAACCAATCAAGGTTCTTGAGCTGCAAATAACTAAGCCTAGTGAGTTTCGTCACCTGGCGAACATTTGAATCGACAATTAATTCATTATTTTTCAAGTAAAGTCAGATATTAATCAGTAGTAATTTCCGACACGTAACCTTTCTATCATTTTTTCAAGTGCTTATTAATTAATAAAGTTAAGTTTTGATTGAAACATAACTGGTTTCCTTTATTTATTGAATAATGTGCTTCAATACCCGGTAGCATGTTACAAACCCAAATCTGCTTTTTATTGCGATAATATCAGAAAATCTAACATCAATGTCACTTCTAGTGATATTTATTTAATTTGATAACTTTTTCGATTCATAATTTATACAATGTATGTATGTGCAATTTGTGGCAACTTTTCTCTTTAAAAAAAAAACCAACTAAGGTATCAGTTAACGAATCTGGAACTAGCTGACTTAAAATAAAACATGTAGTGACAAGTTAATAAGAAGGAAGATTGATTTAGCTGGTACTTGATGGAAATCCATCACAACTTTTGAAAGGGAACAAAAAAGTTTCTAGATTTTCATAATTTAAACTAGAATATAAACTTAAGAAAAAAAAGCTTTATTTTTGACCGAATATTCGATAATTATAAAAGTTGATAAACTCGACTCACCTCTTTCTTCTTATTTCTCTTCTTGGTATTATCTTCGGATTCATCTGAACTGGAATCTGAGTCGTCGTCGTCATCAGAAGATATCTCCTTGCGACGCTTCTTTTTCTTCTTCTTCTCCTTTGATCTACATCGAGTAAACATAATATTTTAAAATCCTTTATTTATTATGAGGGACTCTTGTTAAATTTAATAGTGAATCACAACACACAAAAACTTTCAGCAGTGATTTAGTTACGACAGTTTTGTGTGAACAATTTATATAAAAAATCGTATATCGTAACTAATCACTTGATATTCAAAAATATACACAAAATGCAAAGCATAGATTTAATTTAAGATTTAAACTTTAATCCATTCAATTTAGCCTGCATTTTGCTAAATATTAAAAAACAAAAAAACAACAAAAATCTCACTGTTCTTTTGGCAGTGTATATTTTCAAAAAACTACATAAATAATAAAATCGTACTACTACGATCTTTTATATTTATAGTAAAAAATTAAAAACGCAACGCTTCTTGAACGCACCTTCATCAATCCGCTCTCAGTAATCTGGGACAGGCTAAACATCATAAAAAAAGGAGAAAACGGAAAGTATGAAAATAAATTGGACGGAAAAATGATTTGAATTTTATTTTAAAATCGGACCATACAATAATTACCTGGTTACTCTGCCTTCTCATTATAAGACGTACGGCAAAAAAAATATACCACCAATGAATTAGTATTAGGAATTATACATTTATTAGCTGAGCTATTGTTCATTAAAAAAAAAACTGATCAGAATAAATAAAAATCAACGACTACAAACACAATAACTAACAATAATATAAGTATGATTTTTTTCTTATTTATTTATGTATGTACATTTATATGTTCTGGTGAAAATTAAAAAAAAAAAACGATGATAAGTACATGAACATCTAACTTTTACTTACTTGACTTTTTTACGGCTCTTTTTCTTTTGTTTCTTTTTAAATTCCTCACTGGAGGGACTATGCAAGCGCAAAAAAATGTATTTTGAAAGATTCGAACAAAATAGTAGGATCGTAATTTAAAAAAAAAAGGGTTTAAGCCTCACCTGATAAGTTTCTCTTTGCGTTTTTTCTTCTTTTTAATCTTTTCCTCCTCCTTATCGTCACTCTCATCATCAGCACTCTGGTCTGGAGTAGGAGTTCTCACCAGCTGGTACCTGCGAGGAGAAATAGCGCGTTGTTTCTCCCTCTCTTTTTCCAGAACTCGTTGTTTTTCGAGTTCTGCCAGAGCTTCTTGAGCGGCTAATTGCTCTTTTATCTGTCGGTCTGAATCAAAACTGCTACCTTCCACAAAGTACTCTGAGATACCGAAAGCTTCGCGAAGGCGAGCATTTTTTTCTTTTTGGGCTTCAGCAACTTGGTGCGTTTCAGTAACACTAAAAAAATAATTGAATATTATCATCAAGCCTATCATAGTCTCCTTCAATAAAGATCAATTTGGAAGATTATGTATCTGTATGTTATTTATACAAATTTGAAACAAAAACAGTAGTTCACAAAAATGTATGAAGAAATAGTAGGTAACTGGACAATCAAAAAGTCATAGTCATATACAACGTATAGTATAAGCTAAAAATTTGGATTTAATAAGAAATATAAAAAAGTGAAATACAATATACAAAAATAACAGACAAACCAATTCTGTTAGGCTTAAAACATATTTGAAATTTCTATAAGCAGACCTCTTAGTTATTATTATTGTTGAATTTTTTTTAAGACTCTATGGTAAATTAAAATTTATAGAAAGTATTGAGCTTCTGGCTACAGGGTTTCTGGATATTGGCACAGAAGATAATTAATACTTCCAGTCTAATACGGATAGGAATTGTTGGACTGAATGTTATTTTTATATAGATTTCCTGAAAACTATTAATAGGTGTTCTAGAGCTCTGGACCATCTGTCTTATTAAATCATATTTGCGCCAGCTATACGTTTGAGCTACTGTTCAATTTAATGTTGAGTATCTAATAAAATCAATCATATTAATTCTAAGGTAAATACCTACTTGAAAGCAACCAGCTGAAGGGACAGTAAAAGTGAGCAGAAAGAGAATATGACTATTCAATGAAAGCAGTATCTCAACCAAACTGAACAATCTAAGTGCATGAGGGAGGAATAATTTTCGTGGAATAACTTAAGATTCCAAACATACATAAATTATGTGATCTTGCAAAAATGTATAGAAAATAAGCATATCAGTGCAGTTGATATTGGATTGGTCAACGAGCATCGTGAAAATGACAATTCCAGTACTAGATTAAATTCTTAGTTATCTAATTGATAATTTATTTGAAGTCCTCGATAATTGGGAAACTATAATATGCCTATGAGTTCATGACATTTATTAATTCAAATTATTTGAAGGAGCAATGTGTAGATTTTATCAAAAAAAAAAATAATATTTTCAATCCAAACGAATATGGGTATCTGTAGATTTATCAAGCATTGACCATGCGCTGCTTTTAAAATAATACATATTATTATTTTTACCATTACTAAACCTAATGTAAATTTGAACCATGACAACCAGGACCTTTGTCATTTGTTGTGATGGGATGTGTATTCCTATGCCCCTTGTTTATTTGTGTGAATTACTTATGTTTTCGGATTTCTGTGTGTGTAAAAGTCTTATCCGTAATAATGTGGATGAGTAAGTGAATATCTTTCAGGGAAAGAATAATTTCTAAAGTGTGAATCAAATAAGTTGTAAATAGATTATTTTTTTTTATAACATAAATTTCAACATGTTGTTATTGTGCTGATTTTGTTAATTTTTTCCCTGTTGTCTCTTTGTGTGTATTTTTAAGACTGCTTTTTGTGTTCTTGAGGATGTGTAGAAACATTGGCTTTGATTTGACAGATTCATAAACACACTCTACAGAAGCTGAGATTTGTTTTAATTTTGATATTGATAAATACAATAATCATTGATGTGAACCAAAAACATGTTCACGGAGTGTAGAATGCAATTAATTCCTCGAACGTGCTTTTAACTATGTACTAATGGTTTTACTGGCATCAACTGATCAAACATTTCGTGTTGGAGATCCTTTAGGAAAACATACAAAGTAACAGAAAAAAAAAACACTCAGCAAAGAATTTCAGGATATCTACCTAGGGTTTATCAATTTTTGTATTTGATATATGATAAAAATTATGACCTGAATTTATTGACAGAAAACACTCACCAAATTATTTATAGATTTTTTCTAGATTTTTATAAATTATGTGAGACAAAAATTAAAAATAACACATGTGAAAAGTAATATATCTGGTGCATATATAAATAGTCAATAAAAACTTACTTGTCTGTCAATTCTTTCTCATAATAATTGTAACACACCATCGTAACAACCAATTAGGACTACTGACCCAATTAAACAAAAAAAAATATTATTCACCTGAAATAATAGTACTAAAATGACGTTTTCAATAATTTAATAAATATTTACTAGTTTTTTTTTTGTTAATTTAAAGAACCTCTGCCCTCATAGTGAGTGTATATGTGTGTGTATCTACAGTCGAATTAAAGGCGCATTTCATGTGATGGAAGTGGCACGCGACAGCAACTTTGGCGTCGATCAATATTCCCTCCCTTAAAGCACGGCGTAAAGTGGGGTGAAACGTGAGTCAGGGGTGGAGAATTGGAAATATATACATATTAGGGGAAATCTGCCGCCACTCCGCTTCATTTATTACTTTACCACAGATTTATATGAATACCGAATAATAACACAAAGGAGGTATTTAAAAAAATAAACGTAAAAAATGATGGATATCTTCGTTCGAAAAAAAAAGGTAAAAAAACTAAAACCAATCAAGAACCAATTCGGTGCAAAGTCACACATTTCGCGACAAATCCAGCTTTGAAATATTGTCGGGCTCGATAAGAGGATTAGAGTAACTTCCGCTTTTAAATCGGAACTCATCGATTTTTTGGATTAACTTCCTAGTTAGAGGACTACGCCATTTCCTTCTTCGAAAGCCGATCGAATTAGTTGGTTTATTGAAAGAAAACCGAGTTGACATCCAATATCCAATAGCGTTTGGATTACTTTAAATAAAGCCCGACTACCTAAAAGTTAATGTTATTCGCGGTGGTTTGTGAATGGTTCCAAATAAGAACGCGTTTTTATGTTATTTTGTAGTTTGTTTTTTTTTGTGAATGAAAATTCGAAAAACGCACCGAGAAAAGTGTAAATGGTATCAAAAAATCAAATGCTTCATTTTCCGTGAGTTAAAAGCAAAAACTAAAATTTTTGAAAAGCATCACAATAGGGAACTCAGAAACCGTAAGAGATACCTACAAGTTCCGTTAAATTATGCTAAAGTTGGGTAATTTGATACCCAACAAAACACCTTTTCAAAATTTGGAAAGTTGCTATTTAACAAGATCTATGCGAAAATAAATAAATGACACTTCATCGTGGCAGCTTTTCCTCCCCTACAAGATGGCATTTTATTAAATCTAGAATCCGATGTTTCGTCATTACGACACCATCAACAACTTATTTTTTTTTTTTTACTTTTGGGCTACCTTAAAGCTATGACCCATCACAACTTTTAGAGCTGTCACAATTGTGTGAGATTTTCACATTTTCTGATTTAAATAATTTAATTTTAAATTTTTTTTCGGAAAATGATTTTTGATTAATAATTCTGGAAAAGTATCTTTGATTTTTTGTTCAAAAATTAGATTTAATTTTTTTTTTAAACAATTTAAATATTTCTAAAATGATATGAATCTGTAAAAAGATTATACATAAAAGACACGAGGGGAGAGGGGGCTAAAATCACCTGATTCGTCAAAATTGGGATTAACCTGTCTATTCCGGAATAAAGTCTAGCCTAGCCAATCTGTCAACCATCAATCCGTACAACCGTACATACAGGGTGTCAATTTGAAAACTTTCAAGGGCTATATCCGAGTACAAAAAAAAAAAATATAAAAAATCTCCGAAAACAATTTCCATAACAGGGAGGGGAAACCAAAATGATGTTATAATAAAAATAATATCTAATAATAATAACCCGCGTGGGTTGCGAATCCCTTACCGAACGCCTCCCCAGATGGTGGATAGGGGAATGCCTTCCAGAAATGGAGGGTACCGGAGAAAAAAAAAATAGCCCGGGTGAGCCAAAATTCGCACGGGCACGACGGTTCTCATGTCAGGAGCGGTAGCCCAACAGCGTCTGTACCTCATGTTAGAGGCGGCTGGAATAAGGGACATTTACAGTTACATGTTCATCCCAGTTCCCAAAGAGCGAGTACATCACACCGGTCTTGAGGACCAGCAACCTTCATGGCTGAGATACAGTAATGCTTTCGTCGCAAGAAATGTAACCCGGGGCGGGAGAAAATTGAAAGCTGGTTCTCCTACTCGGAACCGTCACGATGATCAGAGCGTAGAGGGGAAAGATGGGGGCATCCACCCTCTAAATGTACCCACACCGAATGAACAGGACAATGACCCGGTACAAGATGTTGTGCAGCACCACGCTGCATCCACCAGCACCGGAACCGGAAAGATGACGCATGAAGTGGACCAATGAAATCAACACGCAAGTCATGCGATCGTACCTCACAGTCACGGCACTTGAGACTAACATGACAATGTACCGCGACAGAATGCACGACGACTGTATCGTTGCAATGCCCCATTTTAGCCACCTAAGTACACAACGAATTGCGGACCAGAGAAGCTATTATATGGAGAAACCTTCTCCCAGCGACCACCATAGATCAGATTAGAAAAAGTGTCAGAAGCTTACTAGAGCAGACCGCTAATCCACAACTCGCGGGACAAGATGAACAGGCCACTGAGCAAAAACCTCAGCAACCGCCACATGAACCTGTTGAGAGAATCAAAATCGGGGACGAAGAACCTACTGCGACACCGAACACTGGGAATCCAGCGAACCTTGAGATCAGATGGAGAAACGAATTTCACGCTTATCTTGTCAAATACACCGGTACAGATCAATCCCTAAGACCGACAAGAGGGGGGGGGGTAGACGGGACAAATGCCCGGGGCCCGGATTTTTTTTAAAAAAAAGTGCCCGTTATTATTTTTTTTCCCGGGGCCCGACTTGGCTCTCGGCGGCCCTGAAGACCGAATAACCCAAAGCTTCGCTACAGTCCTGCTAACAACAAAATTAATTTTGTCAACTGCCAACTCGCACTTAAAACAAATTATGTCTCTAGTTGATGACCTACAAGAACTCCACCTCCACATCTATTGTGCAGCTCTAACCTCTGTGGCTGCAAACAATCAGAACCAAGCCAAACCCAGGAACGCAACCTTGGGAGAGAAAAATAAGCCAGCTGAACTCACTAAGCGGCTAGATGGCAAAACAATACAGGAAAGCCAAGCT